CTAAAATCTAGTGCATTATTTTTCAGTATAGATCTCATTTAATTCACTCAGATCAACGAATTATAAATGATTAGCCCGTGTCCCATGAAAACTATCACATTTTTCTTTGCATTTGGCAAATTTAGTCTATTTGCAAATCATTTACTCATACAAATACATATTTTTTGTATCTGACCGCATCCTATCACACCAGCCTCTTTTCCACCTACCAGAAAGCTACACTACTCTGCCACCTAGTGCTTTAAAGTATATTGTGTGCCTACTTCTGCCTCTTGCTAGTACAGCATCTTCTACAGAACTTCTATTAACTTTTATTAAAATTTCAGTACTAAATGGAAAATTAAAGAGAAACTTGGTTTATCAAGCAGTTCTTCACTGCCAGAGATCACTGTTATACATGTAGATCTTAGTACAATGCTAAACCGTTTAGCAACTTACATCCTTGTATTTTTTGACATTACTTGATCTTCCTCGTTCTTTCCAACACTTGGAATAGCATTCCTTTTACAGACAGTACTTAGAAGACAAAAACCGAAACCAACAAAAACACATACGTATGTATAACATGTACCTAATCATGAAATCCTCAGACAAAAAAAGAAAATTAAAAAAAAAAAAGCCTCTTATCAACTGTTGACAGCTTCACAATGCATCTGTTGCTCCAAAAGTAATGCCTCCTATTTATTTTCACAGAAACAACAACAGGTACAAAGACACCACTTCATACAGCAAACTATCAGCTACAAAATGTTATTTTTCAACATAGTCCCCACCATCAGTTATGCATTTTCCCCATCAGTGAACAGAAAACTGCATACCACCCTCATAAAAATCTGCACCAGTCGAGATGACCCAGTTTTAGAGCTGCTAAGACAGCACCGTTGCTAAAAAAATGTTGACCATACAATCCATATTTCACTGTGCTAACATCCACTGTTTGGTCTCCATCTTTAGCAAGCATCGATGAATGTCAATGGGTGCAACTTTTTCTGCCTGGAGGCACAAAGTTACACCCCTTTGTTTCATACACACTTGACACCAGATGCCATTCTGTCAAATTGCCCCTCTGCTGCCATATGTCACATGGTAGCAAAATGGAATGAAATGTTGGTGGGAACATTCATACTCAATTGCTGTACCACCACCTCTCATGTCGTGAGCTAATTTAATAAAATAGGAGGCCTTGCTTTTGGTGTAGCCCTCATAAAACATATTCAAAAGACTGCTGAAAATGGCATGAGCTGTACAGATTTCCTACTGATTCCAAATAATTGAACAGAATGATGTCTGATCATATGGCACTGATACAAATATGAGCACCTCCTGAATATACTAACATTGCAAAGGTACAGGTAGAAAAGTGAACTCAGAATCACATAGGCTGGGGAAGTCCTAGATCATCAAGTCCAACCATCAACCCGATCTGCCAACTTCTATTACAAACCATGTCCCTTAGTGCCTCATCCACACATCTCTTGAACACCTCCAGTGATGAGGACTCTACCACTGCCCTGAGCAGCTCATCCCAATGTTTGACTACTGTACCAATGAAGAAATTCTTCCCAGGTCCAATTAAACCTCCTCTTGCACAGTCTGAGACTGTAGCCTCACATCTTATTACTTGTAACCTCGACAAAGAGACCAGCAGTCCCCTTGCTGCAATCTTCTTTCAGGTACACCAAGAGAGTGAGGAATCTCTCTCCTGCTCCTCTTCCCAATTCCATTTCCTACATTTCCTCCTTGTAGTATAGTACTTGTTTCCCTGTTCTTTTATCAGCTTCACTGCTCTTTTCTGCACATGCTCAAGCAGCTCAAGCAATTCAAGATCCTTCTTGTAGCAAGAAGCAAAAAATTGAACATAATGCTTGAGATGTAGTCTCACCAGTACCACGCACAAGGTGACAATCTCTTCCCTGGTTGTGCTGACCACATTAGTTCTGATGCAGGCCAGGAGCCCTGCCCATAGAATATCCTGACTTGAAGGGACATAAGGATCACTGAGTCCAACACCTGGCTCCACATAGGACCAATCAAAATTCAAACCACATTCTGGAGACTGTCGTCCAAATACTTCTTGAATTCTGGCAGAAACCTTTTCCTAATATCCAGAGGATCCCTTGGATCCTATGGGAGTCATCCTCAAGGGGAAAAGGGGCACAGCCATGTATGTGGTTGTCTCCCATCACTTTGCCCCTACGTACCTTAAGCACCATGAAAGTGTTCAGTGCCAAGGGAGATGCAGTCATTTAAAACTGTTGAGTTTCATGGGTTGCATCAGCTGTACTTTTTCATCCCTCACTCCTGCCACTGGAGCAGGAGAAGGTAGCATCTCTTCTGCCTTGATCCCCAAAGGAGAGGGCCCACTGTCCTCTGGGTGGCTGTAGTGGGACAGCAGGGGCGGTCTGCTGGAGGGCTTGCGCGGTCCTTGGGCCTGGTGGTGGGGTTTTCTACTCTGAGGACGAGAAGATCAATTAGGGATTGCTGTCCTCAGCCTGTACCCTCCTTGCCTACAGAACAAGTGGTTGAAGGGGGGGCCAGGCCCTCCATGGCAGTGCACAAAGAGTAGCTGGATATCAGACATGCCTCTAGATAAGTAATTTGGATACATTTGATCTCTGCAATCTCTGGAGTACTGAGAAAAAAGCTTAGGGGCAGGGACACAAGTGTGACTGTGGCTGCCCCCAATCAGTTGGGTGCTATGTACCTCAAGTAGCATGAAAGTGTTCAGATCCTACATCAGGTGAAGAGGAAAGTGAGGTGTTTATTTCCTGTGCTTTAACTAAATTACAAATGATGTGCCAAGAGAATGTACAGACTGTTGTTACACTAAGAACTAAAGCCACTTGTATTCATGTTTCTGGTGATAGTTTGCTCTGCCTATGCCAGCACAGCATCAAGTGATCCCAGTGTGCCCCTCTTTCTTAAATGTTTCCACTGTTTTGCTTTCATGCCTAGTACAGATGCAGAAGGCAGTGGCAAATACTAAGCCGTCCAGCAGACAAAGGGAACGATGTTCCCTTGTAGCTAATTCATAGCTTTTCTCCCTTTGGCTCATTCTTTTCTGAAGGCCTCTAGTGCAGATGGCTTGTTTAGAGGATTGATTGCTCTGTGGGTTTGATTCAGTCAAGCTCAGTAAAGTTTTGGGAGGATGGAGACCTCTAGCCTGAAGGGTGCTAGTTCCATGTCTGAGAATCCTTGTGGTGATTTTTTTTCTTTTACCTGACTGGAAGCCGTTAATGTTTCAGTATGGGCCTGCTACTTCTTGTTCTCCCATCACTGAGTGTAAGAAAAGTCAGATTTCATTTTCCATGCTCCCAGGCAGCTGTAGTCAACACTCAGATACTCTCTGAGCCTTCTCAGTTCCCTCACACTGCCCTAGGATGCCATGTGCCCTGGGCTCTACCCAGCCCCGAGGCCCCAGAAAGGGCCCATAGACTGAAATATGAAACTGTAAAACTGATGAACCCTTCTGCTCCCTTCAGCTTTGACTGCCCAGGTCAGGAACAAGCCTCAGAAATGACCTAAGGCTTTAGGTATATTTCCACACCTTCATATAAGCTGCTACTCTGTATTTGAGCTTGTATTGAGCTACTGGTTATATTTTCTTTTACAAATAGGACATTCCTCAACCCATTTTATTTATTATATACTTCCTTTCAAAAAATGATGCCATCACAGCAGTTGTGAAACAGTAGGTCTTCTCCACTGGTGTAGATTTTATAAGCATGGCATGCACTCTTCTGGTGAAAATGCATAGCTAGTGGTTGGGAATAGGCTGAAAAATAGTGTTTTGTAGCTAATAATTTGCTCTATCAACTAGAGTTATTGCAATCTTCATATCTGCTATAGTTTCCATGGAATTAAATAGGAGGTATTACTTTGGGGGCAACCTACATAGACTGAACTGTTAACAAGCATTGATATTTTCCTAACAACTCCGAAGTTAAAAAAATAAAAAATAAAAATAAATTAGCACTACTCGTTCTATAAAACATATTCCCAAATTGAAATGTTACACAAGTCCTTCTGATGCTCTTTACTGCATGTTTTTATTATCATCTAATCATATGAGAGACTTCTAGTTTCTGAAAGATGAACACCACATTGACATACATTCTAGGTTCTAATAATTTTTTTCTATAATAACAATTCTATTATTCCAAAGAGAAGTAAAAACATCCCCTATTTTTTTCCAGTGGTTCTACTCCTCTAACTTGTTGAATATTTTAAAAAGAATATTTATAAATTTCTTCATTTCTCATCAGTACTGATAGAAAAAAAAAAAATCAAAGCTATTTAAATGGGAAGAAATCAAAACTACTTTATTTTCATAGAATCATAGCATGGTTTGGGTTGGAAGGGACCTCAAAGACCAACTACTACCAAATCCCACACTCCAGACAGGGTTGCCAACCACTAAATCAGGCACTAGATCAACTGCCCAATTTGGGGGGAGCCTCTACAGAGAGGCAGACAATTAAAAACAAAACAAACGAAAAAATAAAACAGTAGAAAGCCACTGAATTGTTCTTCACCACCACAGCTCCTCAAACCAGGACAGCATAGGCTCAGGCAACTAATTGAAGCCAGTTTAAATGTCTAATGCTTGTGATACTTCTAGGTGGCTAAAACCAACCTGAAAATACAGAGCTAGCTGCTGTGTCTACAGCACCAAAAAGCCACCCTCACACTGCAGAGGACACAAGTCAGAAAGGTATGTTGTTCTTTGCAGATTTTGCACACTGACAGCTGAGAGAATTACCTTCAGTCTACTACTGAAAAAGAGCAAACATCACTTGGCAGCTGCTGTTTCACCCACAAACAGGAACATCACAGAGGATTTCAAGCAGCAGTACTGTAGAGATATCCAGGCAGATTCCATTAAGAGCAATGGAAGTTATCAGACAACCATATCCTTCCTCAATAATATTGTTTCTAATCAACAATAATTTTAAACATTTTTTTTTTTCTAAGACCAGCAGCCAAAACTGGAAAGCAGATTTCTTTAGGAATCTTTATTTTATACCTGATTGTTTTTCCACTGTTAATAGTAATAAAAAATTATTTACAGCATACAACATTAACATACAAAGTAGTCACTGTACTGTATGTAGATGTCCAACAAGACTGATCCCAACTTCTCTTTAATTGTTGATAGCTACGACAGATATATCACCAAGAAGCACTGCCCACTGGATGCTACAGAAGCAATATGCAACATGAAATGTGACTTCATCAGGCATCCTAAAAGTTCACACCTATTCAGTATCAGCACTGACTGAACACAACCAAGAAAACATTCTTGAAAAGCATGCTCTGTCCCGCTGTTAATTTAGACTAAACCAAGATGGACGCTTCCTGGCTCTCTCGATGATCCGCTTGCCTTCATCTTTTTCAGAGGGCTTTTCTCCATCATAAAGCACTACAGTCTCTACAGTAGGAGCATTAAACGGTCCTCCTTCCTTTTTACCTATTTCCTTCCGTATCTGTTGAGTCTCTGCTTTCACTTTTGCATAACAATAACCACAAAGAACATGCTTCAGCTTCAAGTTTCCACACTCAGGGCAAACATCTATGTTCCTCTGAAAAAGAAAGGCAGTCAAAAATAGAAATTCAGTAATTTGAGCTAAAGCAAAACAACAACAACAACAAAAAAACCCACAAAAAACTAGGAGCTATGAGGAAGTAGTAGGAAGCAATAAATGAAATAGTGGGGAAATTCATCTGCCTTTCAGAACAAGGCGGCTCTGAGCACTGTAACAGCTCCCTGTGGTGAGCCGTGTATCGCCATCACCTTGACTGCTATCAGCTTGCTGGGGTTCCTCCTCCTGCAGCGGTTCACCTCGATGCTGCGCCTCTTCTTCGGCGCCGCCATCCACAGGACGCCGCCGAGGAAGCCCGGCCCCTCGCCGCCCGCTGCCGGCTCCGGCAGACAAGCGGGGCTCTGGACGGCCGGCGCCAGCCCTGAAGGGAAACGGAATTCGTTACCAGCCTTCACCGACCGCCCGAGGGCAAACGTGGGCCCCAGCGCCGCCCCGCCCGTCCCGGCCTACCCCACAACGGGCTCTGCGCCCCGCACACGGCCGGCCAGCGGCCGAGTTCCAGCCGCTGCCAGCAGCGCTGGAGGAGAACGCGGATCGGCGGCACCGAGTGCAGCACCACGACCGCCATGCCGGCAGGAACGGCAGGAGAAGGGCAGTCGCACGCGGGCGCCCTCAGCATTCTGGGAAAGCGAGTGCCTCGAACGCGTCACAGCGTAATGACGACGGAGACCGGGACTACGACTCCCAGCACCCCTTGCGGCTACCGGCGGGCCAGGGCGGTGGGGGCGCTCGAAGACTCCAAATCCCGGCATGCCTCGCGGCGGATCTCTTGGCCAATCGCGCCCCTCGCGGGCACGGCGCACGGCGGCGCTTCCGGGTGCGTTTCCCTCGTCGCCAATCAGCGCGCGCCGTGCCCTCGTGCCGGAAGCGGGCGGGGCGATCGGGCAGACTGCGCCTGCGCAGAGAGAGCTGGCCAGGATAGCCGGGGGCTGGTTCTAAAATGGCGGAGCGGGGGTACAGCTTCTCCCTCACCACCTTCAGGTGCCGAGCGGGGGGCGGGGTGCCGCGGGTCCGCCTGGTTGACAGCGGGCGGGCTATGGGAGAAGAGGGGGACAGGGCACGGGGTGTGTGAGGCGGCCGTCCGGGTGGGGGGGCACGATGAGTGTGCAGAGTCATTGCGGTACTGAGCTGCGAGCGAGCAGTGCTGCTGGGCCTGGGCAGAAGGGCTGGGTTGTATTATGTCGCGTTATATCGCGTTATATCGCTTTATATTACGTTATATTACTTTATGTTACGTTATGTTGCATTATGAAGGTGCAAAAAGGGAAACTGAAAGCAAGAGTCTGCTGGTTTTGGTAAAGTGTCTCCTTGATGTCAGAGCAGTGCTCTGTAATTGTGTCATTGCAAAGCAGTTCACCGAAGTGATGTTGCAGTTAGCAAATGTTAGCGATAGGAGAGGAATCTTAGAGTGTGAGTCCAGCTGAATGTGCCCGCTTTGCTGAACGGAGGGCGTTTTTCGTTAGCTCTTTCCTGATGGAGTTAACAAGCTTTTTGTACTCTGCAAAGCACTAATGGCGTGAAACTGTTTGGGTTTGTGTTCATATGAAAGAGATAACAATTACTTGTGCTTTTCTGTATTCACTTGCCCCACGTACTGAGAATCATTGATTTGAGCAAGTGCTAGCTTTTAATTTATTTTGCTGATGTTCTGTTGTTTTGATTCTTGTACAGGAAATTATTGATTTGCTTGTATTTGTTAATGGTCATTGAAGCCAGATGTGGGAATACTTGAGGGTGAAATGAGAGATTTGCATCTTGTGTCATTGGCTTATCAGTGAAAAAGAATAGCAGTGTTTTGCTTCCGTCTTTCAACAGCGAGCCTAATGTTTCAAAATCTGTTGCAAAGCATGTATAAATGCAATTTCAGTAGAAATTCATGATGTGCTCTGAAGAGTCCCTCACTGAGTGGGAAACTCGGTTTAAATGATACAAATCTGGAGAACTGCATTGCAATCAGATCGAGTCCTATCCAAGAAGTATTCGTTTTCATTGATGCTGCAGGCAGGTTCTGGGCTATATCATCCTGGTTCTTTTAAAGTCTTCAGATTACTATTATTTTTTTTTCTAAATTATGGTTAGGGTATGCAGATACTAGCTGTGAAGAGATTAAAAAGGAAGTTAAGATCATTGATGCATATTTGAGCATAACAGAATTACATCAGGCTTACTTCTGCCTTTTCATTTTCAGTCCTTCTGGGAAACTTGTTCAGATTGAGTATGCTTTGGCTGCAGTGGCTGCAGGAGCTCCATCGGTTGGGATTAAAGGTTTGTTCAGATCATAACTCCACCAGTGAAAGACTGAGTGTCTTAAAGAAGACGGGGAACATAGAGCTCCATTTAAGGAGAAGAAAGTTGCTAGGGTAATTTTGGGGACACAACCAGTAGAAACAAACACCTCTGGTTTGGAGCAATATTGTTACTTAAGAAAATAAGTCTAGATATGTTTCCGTGTATAGAAATAGTTATTTTATATAACTATATAACTATAATAGTTATTAATATATACTTAATATTTAAAATGTGATTATGAGAGCTGTGTGACTATTTTTAAAATATTGGGGAGATGTTGAGTGAATTCATCACAGTGTTTCTTTAACATGATTGTAAACTTGAAGAGATTTTTAAGAATGGAGGAGCAAATTTCTTTGTTCCTACAAATCTGTATTTCAACTGCTTTCTATAAGTGTAATTTAATATAGCTTTTTTTTTTTTCTTTTTCTAGCTGCAAATGGAGTGGTGTTAGCAACGGAAAAGAAACAGAAATCCATTCTTTATGATGAAAGGAGTGTCCATAAAGTAGAACCAATTACCAAACATATAGGCTTAGTGTATAGTGGTATGGGTCCAGATTACAGGTATTTGTTAAAAATTATGCTTGGTTATCATTTAGATACATTTTTCTATATGTATAGTGTAATATTATGTTGGGTTACACATTATGTGAGATCTTCTTTCTCTATAAGGGTTTTTATAATATATTAATTACCTTGGTAAATAATATTGTATCTCAAAAATGAGTGTGAGATGAAGAGCAATGAATTCAATCTTAGTTTCTGTTTTTCAAAGTACTTCAGGGAGTACTAAGTTGGTAACTCAATATAATATATATAACTCAGTATAATCTTTCATACACTGGTTGTATGTCAGAAGTGTAATTCCTTTGAATAGTAATTTTTAAGAATTTTCAGCTAAAATTGTAACAAATAGTTGGATTTCTAATAGGATAATTTTGTCTCTGTTTTTAGAGTACTTGTACACAGAGCACGAAAGCTGGCCCAGCAATATTTCTTGGTTTATCATGAGCCCATTCCAACAGCTCAACTAGTACAAAGAATTGCTTCTGTGATGCAGGAATATACGCAGTCTGGGTATGTGGTTTTCTGAAGTTTGGAGGCTGTTAGAACGGTAAAGTATGACAGCTGCCTGGTGATTCATTTTTAATGTCAAAAACAGATATTTTTTCACTGGAAAACGCTCACAGAAAGTGGGTGAGTGGGAGGACTGCTACCTGGCAGTGAGATAGTCATTATATCTTGAATAGGTTGACTAGTCATTCATGATAATAGATTTGTGCTGGTGGGAGGCCTTTGGGGAAATGTAATGCATCCAAAGTAATGCAGGTTTGGTATTCATTGAATAAATTTATGAATTTTGCATGCCAGCTCTGAGTTGTTTCTTTTTTGTTTTGTGTGGTTTTGTTGTTTTTGTATGTAGAGGTGTTCGTCCATTTGGTGTGTCACTGCTCATATGTGGCTGGAATGAGGGGCGGCCCTATTTATTTCAGTCAGATCCATCTGTAAGTATCTTATATTTGTAAATTCTTCTGTTTCTGTAAAACATCTAAAATTTCATATGTGCTCCTGAAATACTTCCTGTGGTTTGAAGGATCTGGAGCTAGAGGAAAAGATTCCTTAACCAGAATTCAGAAATCAGAGTGCTGGGAGCATGCCTGGAGTTGGCTGCTGTGCCAAAGGAAATGTGGGAAGTGGGTGGCACCTGCTTGCTTATTCTGTGCCTCCATATTTATGGACTGCACGAAGAATGGCAGCAGTTTTTGAAGGACATCACCACCCTTTTTCATCTCTTCCTACCTGCTTAGTAGTAACAGCAAGAGTCATTGTGGTGTTCTGCAGCAGGTACCAGGAAAAAATATTTGACCACTTGCACAGCTCAAATAGTTATTCCCTCAGTTGTAGCAAAATTAGGCCAGAGTCTGTTCCATTGTGAAATGCAATGCAAATGCTTTCATATTTAATGGCAGTAGTTAATTTATAGGAGTTTATTTGCTGTGTTAGAAAAGTGTTTTTACTAAAATTTACCTGTTGATACCTGTGTGAATTATAAGACTTCTCATCAAATTAAAAGATCTGTTACTCTCGTGATTTTCGATAAGCTTCAGAAATATGAGTCACTACCCAATGGTCAAATGAAAAAGCAGAATACAGTTGCCTTGTGTAAGGCATCTTGATTGAGGTACAGACTGGGTGTGATTGTCTTTATCCTATAGGAAAGAACAGGCCCCAAAGCTAAATACCTTAGTAATAGCTAAGATAAACTAGATGTCTGTTTTTTGCAGCAAGTCTTTCAAAATATATAGATACACATGTATTTATTTGTGTTTATGCATAAACACACACACACACGAACATACCTATAAATATATATTTTTATAATATTTATATATGAGATGAGCCTCATGAAAGAACTGACTGTTCATTCTCAAGGGCAAACACAGAATTTCTGTTCAAGGAATCCCAAATCAAAACTATGCTAACAACTTACTAAATCCATTTTTCAAAGTAGGGGAGGCCCAAGTTATGAGCAAGGCCCAATGAAAATGTGTTGTACATTTCCATAGCAAATGTTTTCACATCAAATTAGTCTGAATGTAACCCCTAAACAATCTCACATATCGTCATAACATTCCGAATTTTCATAATGGCTTCTGTACTGGTTACCAAATAATTGAATGTGTAATGTTTGACTGAATTAGAAAAAACAACAGATTGTTGTTTTTACAGGGAGCTTATTTTGCTTGGAAAGCAACAGCCATGGGAAAAAATTACGTCAATGGGAAAACATTCCTTGAGAAAAGGTAAAAGTATTTCAGTAATGTCTAAAAGAATACTATCTCTTTTTCCAAGTTTCAGATAAAAGAGTCAGGAATAAAAAAGTATACTTTTGAATGATTGGTACAAAGATTTAAAATACTTACTATGTTTTTAATTGCTTTATTTAACACGTACACGATATTGGCTTTACTAAGTGCTAACTTTTGTGTGTATGATTAATTAATCCAGTGCAATAAGCAGTGTGTTTAATATGTTTGCAAAAACATTGTTCTACACAGTAGCAGCAGCAGTAGTGATTTTTTTTTTAGTAACAATAATTGTTTTGAATGTTAATATAGCAGTTCTTACAAATAGTTGGAGATTTTGATAGTGTTTGGGTTTTTAGAGGTTCTAGACTTAATAGGATTCAGAAAGATTGTACTGTGCTGAGATGTTTTTGTTTTGTTTTGTTTTTTTTTACAGATACAATGAAGATTTGGAGCTTGAAGATGCCATTCATACAGCTATCTTAACATTAAAGGTTAGGAAAACATTTAAAGAATACATATCTTACTATTGCAACATCATTGAAATGATTCACTGAACTATATTTTTTTTAATAGGAGAGCTTTGAAGGGCAAATGACAGAAGACAACATTGAAGTTGGCATATGTAATGAAGCTGGTTTTAGGAGGCTAACTCCAACTGAGGTTAAGGACTACTTGGCTGCAATAGCCTAGTAGAAACCAAGTAAGACTGTGTGAATTCACACTAAGGTCTTTTTAATTTTGGCTCCTTAAACATTTTTCTTTGCAGTTTTTGCATACTTATTTCTACATGGTTTGTCTGATAGATTTTTTAAATATCATGGGTGCAAATGCAGCAGTCCTAATATTGTAATAAATTGAATCTTAATACAGATAATTCTTTCCCTTGATACATGGGAAGTTTGTACACAAAATACTGTTACAAAAATGTAAAGTTATAATGAACACAGACAAAGGCAAAATAATAAAATTGGAAGGCCTCTGTTTTGCGGGAAAGTGTGTGTGTCTTTTTATTCACAGCTTGTTTGTCTACATGAAGCTGAAAAGCTGAAATTTTGGTATCTTCATTGTTGAGGAAAAATTTTTCCACATTAGCCATCGTGAACTGATTGTTAGACCTTCTTTTAAAGAACTTCTAAACTCTGTGCTTACAAGAGAATTTTTTCACTTTGGAATTTTGTGTAATTGTTAAGTAACTTCCAAAAACGGGTTGCTCTGGTGTAAAACATGCTTCCATAGAGATGTAGAACAGTCTTCCATTGGGGGATGAACTGTGATCTACTTGAATAGCTCTGCTTCTGAGTGTCTAGAATTGTCTTAGTCTTTGTGTCTTAAGAGTTTGTTTTCTGTTAGTCGGTTGCCTTTTTGTGATCCAAGAAATTGAAATTCTTCAATCCTGAAATGCTATTAGGTATAACGGAAACAATTGCTACAGACCAAAACCTAAATGCATTTACCAGTACCTTTAAAAATCAATAGGATGTAGAAAGCAAAATGAGAGCATGTAATGTAATTACTTTATTCCTTGAATTGTGCTGAAGTATTTTTCAACTTGCAAGATAACTGTAACGGAACAGTAATGAAATGAACACTTAATTTATGCATTGCTACTTTTAAACGTGCAGAACTAGATACTTGAACATACTGTGTGTGGGTATATGTACTGTTAGTTTGTTGTGGATCTTTTTTACATGTTTAGTGCCTGTAAGGTTATGTAGAAACAAACTGCACAAAAGAAAGATGCTAAATATACTTTTTTTTAAAGCAGAAATCTGGTCTGGAGCCATTGAAAAGTTACTGATAATGAAATGGAAACTAGGATAGTTGGATCAGTCTGCTTGTACATTAATAAACTATATGGGAGCAGCCAGACAGGTTAAAAGTTACCCAACCATAACCAATGAAAAAAATAAGAAGTCCAAAGAAAGTGACATATAAACTAACTGATCTGTTCTTTTCTATGTCTGTCATTTAATGTTTTGTGTTATCATTAGGCAAATAAGAATTTCTTAAGCATGCCATAAATGAAGTTTTACTTCATGTCAAAAATAAAAATTATGTTCAGATGGTTCTTTAAGACTTCTCCAGATCACTTTTTGAGAATTTTTTACTCTGGAAACCAATTCATATTCTGATTCTTCTTAGAAACAACGAAGCAACTAGGATGTGAAACCAGAGACTTTATAATACTAGATTTTAATTTGTGCTTCCAGAATCATCATTCCAAAAAGTGGGATTCTACTTTAATATTTGCATGCATCCAGTCTACTTTTAATGTTATATAAATATTTACAGGAGTTTTGTATGCAAAAAAAAAAAAAAAGCAGGTACTTCAGAAAATGATTAGCATGAATGACAGTAGGTTAGTTGCATCCTCTACTAGAAAGAGTTGATTAGTGAAGAGCAGCCTATGAAATGTAATTGAAACCAAAGTATTTCACTCCCAAGATGGTAATAGTGGGGCAAATGTAAAATGTTTTAATATTTTTTGGGTGGGTGGGGATTTGTGTGTGTGTGGGGGGGGGGTATAGTTTTAATGAACAGCTTTCCTCTGTGTAGAAAATAGCTGATTTTATTGGTGATGAAGAAACATGAAAGCTCATGCCTTCCATTTTTCTTGTGGCTTAATGATGTAGTAACTTCTGTGTCAGAGAATATGGGGACTTCAAATAAAGCAAGTACAATTCAAGACAGGTCAGAGGCTTTGCTGAAATGAATGCAAAGACAGGTCCTGTATACTGTTTCAGGAGAAGTAAAAAAAAGTCATTCTGGTGTTAGCAAAGCCAGCTGTCCAGCCTTCAGCAGGATGGACTGCAAACAATCATTTATAATCGTGCCAATTTTAATATGACTAAGTACCTAACTGTGAAGAGGGATGGAGCCAAGTAGCTTCTTAACTCAGAGTTCTGAGAAACAATCATTGAATGTGTGCCAGCATGGAGAGATGGCTTTTGGTGGTGCCTGGAGGAGCAGTGTATCCCATATAACCTTTGCTCAGAGGTGGGGAGCCAGGATAGTTACAAGCTGCTAGTTTTTAGCTCAAAGTTCTAGTCAGGATAGACTTCATAACCAGATCTTTCAAATAGTAATAATTTTAACACCAAATGTGCATTGTTATGGGAAGTATTGTGTGCTGAGTAAGGAAAATACTGACTTTCTGGTAATTGGTATGGATGTTACGTATATTTTTTGCCCAATTCCCCCTGTTCCATTAGAAGGACAATACATGATTTGATTATTATCTAATTATGGCACTATTTTCTCTTGAGAACAAATAGAAGTACTCACAGAAAAAGATGAGAGCATTATCACTAGACTGTCATAGCCCCATGTATTAGTACATAGTCTCCTTTTATGGCAAACGACTTCAAAATGATGAGTTTTCTGTGAGAGTGCTTTCCTTAGTTTTACTGTGAGGCATGACCTCGGAGCCTGAGTCATTTCTATGGTAATCATTTCTCATTGCTTTATGTGAAATGGGTAGTGTGGGTTTAACAGTTTATTGTCACTAGTGGTCATTCTGATAAGCCACCATTTGTAGTTGAGAACAATGGCTCAAACTGAATTCTTAAAGTTCTTTAATAGCCATATTCCCATCACGGAATCAAAATTATTTGGATCTGGGGTAAGTTGAAAGAACAGGCACAATATTTCGAATTCAGGTTTAGTTTATGCTATTTGTTTCTTTTAGTGGTAGGTGTATAGATGTCAGCATTACTCTGTTCTAATGAGGAAGACGGTGTGACTTGGAGAATGGGGTTTTTCTGCTATTTTAATTGCTTAATCCTTGACACTGGGTAAGTTTACTGTCATACTCGGATTACTGCTGTTTTAGAATAGTACACTAAATTTTATCTGGTCTTTAAAGAGGACCTTTAAAATGCAGGAAATTAATTTACATCTTTTTCCATTCTAAATCCCTGGAATTTAAGAAATAGTAATTTTAATTTGGATATATATTTCGCAGGGAATAACATCGATTGATGTTATCAGTGAGTGCAACAGAGCAGCAAATTACATAGCAGTTGTATTTACTTGCATTATATTATCTTGATTTATATTTTGTGAAACCTAACTTAAGGCATAGATGTCAAAGGCTACAGAGTGGACAAAATTCATTCATAAGAAATGGCAAAATACAAGCTCAAGACTTAAACTGACTGTGATGTTTGACAGATTCATTATCTTGTTTCTGATCAGTCATCTGAAGAACAGACACTGATCACTTAATGCAGAGAACATGCTTTGATTCAGATTTGTCTTGGAAGATGATCAGCTCTGAGGAAATCCAGACAGCCTCACACCATTGTGAACACAGAATTCTTGGGCTTTACTTCACTGGTGGGATCAAGAGCTAAGAGCAGCATGGTACCATTGTATGCCATCGCCAGTTTAGTGAGGCTGTTCGATTAAGCAGAAGCAGTGGAAGTTACAGGTGTGGTAGGCCCTTACAGCATGCTTTCAGCTTATTATTGCTTGTTAAATGAACCACTATAAAGGAGTGCTTGCTATGTGAACCCGTGTTCTTTAGAGAGAGAGCGGTGAGGTGCTGAAACAGGCTGCCCACAGAGGCTGTAGATGCCCCGTCCATCCCTGGAGGTGTTCAAGGCCAGGCTGGATGGAGCCCTTGGCAGCCTGGTCTGGTATTAAATGTGGAGGTTGGTGGCCCTGCATGTGGCAGGGGGATTTGGAGGTTCATGATCCTTGAGGTCCTTTCCAACCTTGGCCATTCTGTGATTCTGTGAATCCACAGTGAATTTCAGCAGCAGCAGCTGGGGAGAAGGCGAGTATTCTTCATGCTGATGGTGCTGCAGCATAGAAGGATGCTGGAGGCCACTGGGAGATCTAGAGTAGTTGGGCTGCTGCTGAGGCAGGCAGCATCTTGGCACAAATGAAGGCACCAAGTGCTTGAGCACAGAGGGCCATTGCTCGCATTGGGCACCAAATGCTAGTGATGCTGAAGCTTCACTGATACATTCGTGATTGTTTCTTCCTTGCTAAAATTAAAGCTCAGAGCTGACTATGCTCTGGCCTTCCATAAGGAGGGCAGAAGGCTGATGCAAGCACACAGCGGCTAAAATCTTCGTGTGCTGTAACGTAGCATGCCTGGATCTTTAAAAAAAAAAAAAAAAAAAAAAGGCTTTTTTTAAAGATAAAACGCATGCTTTTGGAGGACCCGCTCCTCCCTGCCTGCCAGAGCACAGCAGCAGGCCGCGGCACGGCAGGCGGCCGCCGCTGCTGTCCCCGCCCGGCGGCCCGGGGGAGGCGCGTTGGGCCGAGTCGGCCGCAGCACCGCCCGGGGGAAACCGCTGCCGGCGGAAGGAGAGCCGGGGCGGTGAGCGGGGATGGGGTTGTGCGTGTCTTCACATCGGCCGTGGGCACCGGGGAGCACGGGCAGCGTCCCGACGGCATCCGGGTCGCGATCGCTGAGGGCCAGGCGGGGCACGGCTGGGGCCGCCCGGCGTCCGGCGAAACACGGAGGGGCCGGGAGCGGGCGCTGAGCGCGCCGTGCCCGCTCCCAAAATGGCGCCACGCTCACGTGATGGCGGCGGAGGGGAGAGGAGCGGGGCTCGGGGCGTGCGGGTGGCCTGCAGGGGTGTCCTCGGCTGGGCGGGGCGGGGGATGCGCCTGCAGCTGGGTTGAGGGAGGATTTGTCCTCGTTTACAGAAGCGCTGCCTCTGCGGGCGTTCTGTGGTTAACACTGGGGTCCCCCAGCTGCGTCACTGAAAAGCTGGGCTGGGTTGGTGGGCTTACTTTCCTGTAAGAACTTGAAGTGGGTTTCATCCTGAAGTCTTACTGCTCTTGAAAAAGTTGGAGCTGCTGCGGGAAGGGGTGCCGAGGTAGTAACTACAAGGTTTTACTCTTTACATATGAGAATAATCCTTGGCTTCCTGCTGGAAGTACATAATGAACTGCCATCACTGCGATAAGTGCCGATCAGCTGTGGGATGTGGTGTGGCACTGCCTGACCCAGCGCCCTGCCTGCCCTCACGGGGGTTCATGGAAGCTGAGCTCGGAGCACTGCACGTGCGACAGACCTCCGCTCGGCGCTGTGGCTGTTTAAAGGTCTTAAAAGTTTTCCTCCTCCTTAGTAATTGGGTGAGCGGCAGCTTGCAGGCACTGCGCAGAACCACGTGTGGCTGTGAAAGGGCAAGTGAGGGCTGGAGGTGGTGGGAGGAGGATGTACCTTCACAGAGGCACTAAAGCATTGCTGCAGAAATGTAAGTTTCTTGTTCTGACTGAGGAACCTTGAAGGTGCAACTTTGGAATGCTAGGAGGTGAAATACTCTGCACTGATACCTGAGAGCTACCTCAGGAAGGTGCCAAAGAAAAAGCAGTGCCTGGTAGCGCCCGCAAGCTCTGGCTGCACGGAATGGCTGTGGAGGGCACGCGATGGTCAAGGCAAAAATTGCAGAAGGCATGAGCTGTATTTCTATGGCACAGAGCCAAAAGTGAATCAGAGTTCTGCTGTCCTGATAAGCACTGATAAGAGGAAGATTTACTTTGGGCAGTGAGGGGATTAGTGCTTGAACCTGCCTGGTTGGGATTTTGAGAGGAAAGGATAAAGTTTGTTGGCATCTTCTGACCCTAAAGAGAGTGAATAAGGCATGATGGAAGATTTTAGACAACAGTTGATAAGAAAGGAAAGATTTTGGTAGTGTTAAGAATTTACTGAGCCAGTAGGAGTTAATAATAACTGTGTTTGAATTGTGCATAATGAAGTCAGGTTCCAGAGTAGTAATGACAGAGCCTTTTGTAGGACTGAGGCTGTATTACTTTTCACATTTTTGACTGAAACTATATTTGTTTTGCCTTTTGATCCTAGTTTCCTTCAAAGTGCAGTTCAGATAAAATTCACAGAACATCTGTTTGTACTCATAGTTGGGAGTGAAAATGGATGAATTTCACTCTCCATAGTGGCAATTTACTGGGTGTCTTAAAAAAATTGTGTTTTTTGATATGTTACTTAATTGTACATTTTTCAAATTGTTCAGTTAACCACTTCCTATTGTTACGTTCAGGGAGACATACTAAGTAGTGTAGATGCAGAGGAATGTGTTTGTCTGATGCTGCACAGTAAATCTCTGGTGAACCTGCTTTAGCAGGGGGATTGGACTTGATGATCCCCAGAGGTCCCTTCCAACCCCTACAATTCTGTGATTTTTGTGGTGAAGCTAGAGAACATAGAGATTTCCAGATCTTCCTGGCTCTGAAATTATAAATTATAATTTGTCACAATGCTGCGTAACGTTGAAATTTACGCAGAGGGGTATTAGTAGCTTATTTGGGGGATTATATAGTGTAAGTTGGAGAGGACAGAGGTATGCTATTCAGAATTGTAAGATATAATGGGTGTTTTCTACGCTATATTTAATAACTGCTGGGAAGCAGACTTAGTGATTTATATCTGTAAGCATGGTAGATGACTAATATTATAATGATAGTGTGGTCTGAGGGAGGGGAAACATTTACATATGGAGTTAAGAGAATTTCTAATTTTGCTCTGAATGGCAACATCTACAAATGAACTTTGGGAGCTGAGATCTCTTCAAATCACAGAATCACTAAGGTTGGAAAAGACCTATAAGATCATCCAGTCCAACCATCAATGACTGGCTCTGTGAGGGACTCAGATATGAGTGAAAAGATTCACAATCTTGCAAGGTGTCTGTGGAGACTTGAGGGCTGTTGTTCTTCCTTGCTGAGAACTGAAATCTTAGGCTTTAGGCTGTGTTATCAAAGGTGAAGGTTTTGTTGGGGCTTGTGTGGAGGTTTCTGATGCTTGTGCTTTACTGTACGGATAGCTGTTCCACCAAATCTACTACAGAGTTCCAGTGTGTACTGTTCAAGTGACCTTTTGACTGTCCTTATTCTTAGCTGTGTCCTAACAGTCTTCTCCTTTGCTTTCATCTGATAGGAATAATGTTTCCAACATGTCTGTGCAGTCGCTGCTTTGTGAAAGAATTGCCGTTGCCAAAGAACTGATCAAGAGAGCAGAAGCCCTTTGCAAGTTCCAGAAAAGGAGAATAGAAGGTGGGGCAAAACTATGTGGCAAACTGAAGGCTGAGTTAAACTTCTTATACAAAGTGGAGTCAGGGAAGGTGGTCATTAAAGAATCCCATCTGCAGAGTACAAACCTCACCCATCTCCAAGCCATTATCCAGTCAGCAGAGAACCTGGAGGATGTTGTCAGTGTCCTCCAAGTCTTTTCTTATGAGGACAGGTTTGGAAACAGACAGACACTGGTGGTAGATGTTGTAGCAAATGGAGGTCACACGTGGGTGAAGGCCATTGGTCGGAAGGCTGAAGCCCTGCATAATATCTGGCTGGGAAGGGGCCAGTATGGTGACAAAAGTGTCATTGAGCAGGCTGAAGACTTCCTGCAGGCAAGCTGTCAACAGCCAGTGGAGTACAGCAATCCCCACATAATATTTGCCTTCTACAACAGCGTGTCCAGTCCTATGGCAGAGAGACTTAAGGAGATGGGGATATCTGTGCGAGGAGATGTTGTTGCAGTGAACTCTCTAGTAGAACCATCTGTGGAAAACCAGCACCTAAGTGCCAGTGAATCAGATGAAGAAGACCTTGAACTGCAGGTTACCAGAGTGGATCGGGAGAATTTAGTGACCAGCATTGCTTTTCCTACACAGATCAAAGTAAATGTGTGCAATAGAGTGAACTTAGACATCACTACGTTAATAACCTATGTCTCTGCTCTGAGTTATGGTGGCTGCTACTTCATCTTCAAAGAAAAAGTGCTAACAGAGCAAGCAGCTCAAGAAAGAAGAGAGAGAGTCCTGCCTCAGCTGGAGGAGTTCATGGAGGGGAAGGAGCTCTTTGCATGTGAATCTGCTGTCAGAGATTTTCAGTCAATCTTGGAAACACTGGGAGGGCCTGGGGAGAAAGAGAGAGCTGCATTGCTTGTTAAAAGAATTAATGTGGTCCCAGATCAGCCATCTGATCGTGCCTTACGACTAGTGGCTAGTTCAAAAATCAACAGCCGTTCTCTGACGATTTTTGGGACAGGAGACACTTTAAAAGCCATCACCATGACTGCAAATAGTGGTTTTGTGAGGGCAGCTGCTAACCAAGGTGTCAAGTTCAGTGTTTTTGTTCATCAGCCAAGAGCACTGACAGAAAGCAAAGAATCTGTTGCCACACCTTTACCAAAGAGCTGCCTACGTGATAATGGATTGTAATTTGTTAAAGGAATTAATCTCTGAATATTGCTGATCTTTCAGTAGAAACATCGGGAGAAAAAAGGAAGTCATAGCAATACATTTTCTGATTGTGTAACAGTGAGAACAGTAATTGGAGCAACAGAAGGGTTCCCCAGGTGACTTACACTGTCTTTATTCAGTTTTTGGTTTTTGTTCAACTGCTAATTTATTCACTAAAGTAATAAGATTTCCTTGAAAATCATTAACTGTTACAGTATATTAATCCCTATATAAATCCCTATTTTAATCCATCCCTATTAAAACATTCAGTTACAGCACACAGATCCCTGTCTTTTTATATACCAGGGAGCACAGATCTGGATGCAATGCTCCAGGTGAGGCCTAAGCAGGGCAGAGTAGAGTGGGGAGGATCACCTCTCTTGACCTTGTGGCCACAGTCCTTTTAATGCACCCCAGGATCCATTGGTCTTCTGGGCAAACAGGGCCCACTACCCTGTGAATAGAGCTGGGAGAGGCGATCTGGAGCATATGGAAGAACCATGTGTCTCTTAACTGTTATGTTTGGTATTAGAAGTCCTGAAAGAAGGTACAAGAAAATAAACAATAAATTGATTTTTGCTTGCAGCTCAAAACTTTTACAGCTGAGGTCCAAATGACAGTTTAGTGTTCATCATGGATTAATCTGTTTAACAGCCTTAAGCTGAATACATGACATCAGCATTCTCTTGGGCACCCCCTAAAGAGGTTTCTCCAAACCACAGATTTATGTGCTAATGGAGAGGGAGGGCAGTGACTTGTGTTATTACCAGGTAGGTGACCCAAATGCAGTGAAAAGTACCAACAGCTCTATAGTCTGAATTAGAAACAGTGGCACTGTCTGCAGCAGTTCATAGAATCGCAGAATGACTTGGGTTGGAAGGGACCACAAGGATCATCAAGATCCAACTCCTTTGCCACAGGCAGGGTCACCAACCTTCACATTTAATACCAGACCAGGCTGCCACCCCATCCAGCCTGGCCTTGTACACCTCCAGGGATGGACGGGGCATCTACAGCCTCTGTGGGCAGCCTGGTCCAGCACCTCACCACTCTCTCTGTGAAGAACTTCCCCCTGCATCTAACCTTGACGTCTGTATATGTGATTAGTGCAAAACCTGGCCCTTTGCTGTGTTGAACCTCATCAGACTCTCCCGGGCTAACCTTTTGAGTGCGTGGAGGTCCCTCTGAATGGCATGCCTTCCTTCCACAGGTTTATACTTTCTGATACTTTGATTCTTTTAGAAGCAGTCTTCTGGTTCACAAGCAGCACCAACTGGGAGCGGTGCCTCCGTCTGGGTTCCTTTCTACAGCACGTGCACACTGCACGGCAGGCTGCTTCTCGTGCCTCCCTGTGTACCGTGTTTCACGAGCTGGCCTTAGCAGGGGTCTGGATGGGGGGATTTCGTCAGGTCCCTTCCTGCCCCTACGTTTCTGTGATTCTGTGATTGTGGAGATTCTTTCATTTAAGTTTTTTTTCACGTTAGTGATGCAGGTTGGTGTTTGGGGTCCTATATGAGTAAATGACTGAAAGGCTGCCATTAGTCAACCCCATTTGCCCACCTCAGTGTGAACTGCAAACAGGAGCGCTCTCTCCTGGTTTCTGATGGTGAAAGTTATGATTCTGTGTCCACCCCCAGCATGAGGAGAGGAAGAAACCGAAGGGGGGAGGGACAGCAAACCCAGCTTCATCATCAATAAGACAAAGGAGACATTTTCTTTTTTTGCAAATATTTATTGTCTCTAAAAACAGTCCAAGATGGGTGTTGTTCCCCCACCCCCCGAGCCGTGCTCAGCAGCGCAGTGGGTGCCGGCCTAGCGCCGCCTCTTGGGGGACGGGGACGAATCCGGGGGGCAGCTGCTGGCCCTCCTCTTCGGGGGGCGTCGGGGTCCCCCAGGCGAGCGGTCCGTGCCCTGGGCGGAGGGGCCCTCTGCCGCCGCCTGCCCCGGCTGCTCCTGCGGCTCCTGCGGGGACACGGGGGCGGCGGGTTGGGGCTCGGG